AAAGTCTTGAAATGAGGTGAAGGCCTTAGCGCAAAATAGAACCCGATGGAGCGTTTTCACTGAAGCTCTATGCTCCACTTAGGAGTTGAAGAAACTTATATATAAACCGCGTCGAATTTAGGTATACCGAGCTTTCGACTTCCTCTCTGAAAGCTTCATCAGGTTTTCATGTTTTCCAACGTTTCAATTTACCGAGTTCTCAGATCATTTTAATAGTATAATCTTAACTACCAGTGGATGGTGGTGTTTGTCATATATCTCCCATTTAATCTCAATCCAAATCAGATCCGCATCGTAACTTTTTCTTCTTTGTTAAAGATATCACTGGCAAAATCGATAAAATTCTCAAAACAAATGGAATAAAGACTATATTTATTCCTCAGCAAAAACTTTCATTCCTTGTTCGATTTGTTAAAGACAATATACCAAATCAACAACACTGAGTTTATGAAATTCCTTGTTCAGACCCTCCATGATCATGCATAGGCCAAACCAATCGACGAATCCAAAACAGAATCTATGAACATTCCAGGTCATAATTCCTATTCACTTTCAACCCTAGGTCAACATTAACTCCATACACAAAATTGGTTATGAAAATTCCAACACTGAAGACTCCATCAATTTATATAAACAAAGAAATACCTGAGAAGTCATTGAAATTGAAAAACACCCTAAGTATTTCAATAAAAGAGATGGTCTTACCATTTCTATTTTTCTTCTTTTTACCAATTGTTTTTGTATAGTTTTATTTTCCCTATAAAAAACTTTGGATTTACAACACTATAATGCCATAAAATGATCCGCTCGCTTAAAATTACTATAAAAGGCTCGTTTTCTCCCAAACCTAATCATCTTTTCCTCAGTAGGACAATCATACGTTGACGCTCTCTACGCAGTTAAGACAATCAAATTCACTCTTTACGTACATAATATGTCTCGCCTTAGTTATAGCAAACACAATATAGTTCTTACAAGTTAACGCACCACGCTGTCTATGTATTAAATATACATACTCGTCATAGCACAGTAGTTTTTAAACTTACTTATTCAAGACAAGTTGTAGTAATAAAAGTGTTAAGAACTGTGCTCCAATTAAATAAAATACTTAGCTGGGAGTCTTCAATTTTTCTTCAACATACGACGGCGTCTTTTATAACCAAAAAATGTAGAAGCTTTGGTTTTAGCCTTATGTTAAAGGAAAGGTACATCCACAACACCATCGAAACGACGAATTGGTTCCTGGCGTTGTGATGAAGAAGTGACGAACCACGAGTCAATATTGCTTTCCTTTTGTATTTATTTTGTTCCAATATTTTTCTCTCTGAAAACTAAACATTAAATTTCTTGGCTAATACGAAGTAGTTATGACGCCACTGTAGAGTTCCGCCATTGCTTATTTGGATAATTAGAAAGTCCTCTGGTGCGAAGATTAAAAATTCTCGATCTTGCACAGATCTTATGGTCGGTATAGTAAAACTTCTTGGCCGTCCCTCATATAAGCAACAGTGTACATTTATTGGCCTATTTTGGAAAGAAAACACGATTCTAATTAACAAGACATTAATTGACTCTAAAACGACTACATTTAAAGACAATGATATATATATAAACTAAATGTACGAGAAACGCGAAAAATCAATAAGTCTGCCGGGCTTATTGATGTCTCAAGATAAATTTAAACAAGCATTCATTATGTATATACTTGTCAAAGTATATTATTTAAACTGTTTGGTGACCTTTGTTGTGATGGCACATTATTCGTCTATACATGAAACGATGTACATGTAGAAAGTTGTTCTATATACACCATTTGACTCATAACGGCTCGTATAATTGTCTAACGGTATGATCGACTCTTTCCGGACTTCGGTGTGATTAAACAGAATAAAAAAATTGCGATGATTTGGAATCATAATAAATATTTTGTTATATTCACAATCTTAGTTTTTAGCTCAAATAATTTTTTTATAATTGTTTATAAAATATATGTAATAACATGCAGTTCCTTTAAGAAGTTTAAAGAAACGTATTCATTTTCATTTCTCATGTCTGTCACCTGTATTGTTTACTCTTTTGTCCTTTTTACTTTGCAATATTTGGTGCCGAACACTACAGCTGGTTTTATCGGATAAATTTCTGCGATCATTATTAAGAATGATGTGGTTCCGTTCAAGTTCACTCGTAACATACCAGCATCTTGTTCACCAGAATTACGAGAACCTTCAAACAGCACTGAGGTCTCAATCTGCCTACCCCTCGAGTGACACTATATACTTATATCTTTGGCTTTTTGACTCTTTGGCAGAGTATAGGTCAATCAATATTCCTTGAGCCCTTTTAATCCATTTAGCGCTGTGGATTAGTCTGCATGTATTCTTTAAGCTATTTCTCAAAGATTAGTATGTGTTTTTACTTTGTCTACTATCTTTTTGCACTCTCTTTAGTCCTGAATCTGTTCTCTCCAGTTTGCCATTTATATCTTTGATATATCATCTAGTAGTAGGTATTTCCATGTTATTTCTAGTATTCCTTATGGTCTGTTTATTGCTGGTTTCCAGTTTATTATCTTTCTAATTCGTGCGTCTTCTTTTCTTCTTTATATGTGTCCAAACCATCTGCTTCTTTTAAGTAAAAAGTTTACATCTTATCATTCGTTTTTACAATTTCTACTACATTCTCTTTTATCTTATCCATTAGAAATTAGTTAAGTTCCATTCCTTGTGTTAGTTTTCTCCACATCACGCATTTTGTATCTTTTACCTAATTCTTTCGCCCTTTGGTCCTTTTCCTTCGTTTAAGGTCATTCACCAACCCTATACTCTTATCTGCTTTATTTCCAAGATTACAAAACCCTGTCCCTATTTTTCTAACCTGCAATGGTATTTCCTGTGGAATAGTTACCCACAAATCGAAAGGGAGGCTCTCTTTATTTCATGAACATTTTATTTCAGAATTTGATCGAAATTGATCGAAGTAGTGAATCCATGTCAAGAACCGCTATTCTATGACGCAACCGTGACGACGCCATCTTGTGGCGCTAGTTCAGTGACGCTCGCTTTATCATTTTTCTGTAGAGAAAAAAAAAGTTATAAACGTCAGTACAGAAGCTTCGCTTCAATAAATATTTATTTTAACATTCTTTAAACAAATTACTCGGTTAAATAAAAAAATTCACAAATTAACTAATTAAGTTTTGATAATTTATGAAACGAAACCCCAAATTGAAAAAAAAAACATCAATTTTCATATAATAAACGGGAGATATTGCGACTTTTATAACTTTTAATTTATGAATTCAGTTTTTGAAGTAGTGAAAATCGATAAATAAATTCTGGTTCTAAGGGTCCTAGGACAACATTTCGAATAAAAAAGCTTCCTATATTATGTTAATGCTGTTGTTTTAAACGGTTATAAACCTGAAATTACAGTACTTTTGTAAATCTATTTTACAATATTTATCATATTTTTTTTATTCGGTAAATGATTTAATTTGATAATATAAGCCTGTCTGGATCCAGATCCAGGCATAGAAATAAAACGTAGAATAGGAATGACTAAAACTACTTTTATGAAAATGAAGTCATTTCTTTGCAATAATCATCTCGTTTAGAACTAAGACAAAGAATAGTTAAGTGCTATGTTTGGTCCGTACTTTTGTATAGTGCAGAAGTGTGGACGCTAAAAGTATCGATCATGAACGAAATTGAAGCATTGAAAATGTGGGTTCATAGACGAATGCTGAAGATACCATAAGCAGCAAGGAAAACTAATGAATAATTACTAAGGAGCGTCAACAAAGATAGAGAACTGCTAAAGATTGTTAAACATCGAAAAATGTCTTATCTGGGACATATAGTAAGAGGAAGTCGATATAAAATATTACAACTTATCCTTAAATGCAAAATAGAGGGCCGTAGAGGTGTAGGAAGAAAACAAGTTTCTTGGTTAAAAACATTCGTAAATGGACTCAGATATCAAATGCAGGACAATTATTCCATATTGCAGAAGATCGAGAAACCTTCGCAATGGTGATCCAAAGTCGGATAATTCTGATTGAAGAAGAAGCCTTTCTCTTCAATTTGGTGCTTTCAGAATTCATGTTGACCTAGTAGTGTATGCATAACTATTAGATATATAACATAATAACGTTGTAGATAATACCTTTCTGGGGTAAACAATTTGAATTTTAGAATAACTGTTACGTGAAACTTTTTTGTGCAGTTTTAGAAAAATTAATTAATTGTTTTTAAAAAATCGACTTTTGAAGCTATTTTGGCAATAATTAAGCAACATATTAATAATAACTTTACAAACTCTCATTTTAAAGGATTTTCTCTGCTTTTTTATTAAAGTTATGTCACTTTTCCATATAATTTACCGGTCTTCACCTTTAGTATTTAAAATCCAACAGATTTTACATTATTTATATATTGTTTATAAGTAGAAAATAACAATCTTTTGCATATTTTGATTATTACATATTGTTAAAACCAAATTTATCAAAAGCAGTTGTTAATACCTGTATCGCAGAGTATCATGAAAAAAAAATTTTTCTTTGCTAATTTCTCTGGTCTAACAGCACAATTTGGCCTGCAACACACTACCAATGCACCCAAAATGCAATATTACTCCGCATCCGATTACATTTTTTCTGTACATGCCGAAATTGCTAATTGAAAAACTTTCCTGTCAGCCAGTGTATTGTTGTCCGTATAGGATATATAAAAGTACACTGCAATCTATGTATGCCATCATTATTCTAACATTGATGTGTTTTTTATGTTTCTTTAGACGAGATTATTTTCAAGCTGTAAAAGTTTTCGATGGGTCACGCTGTAAATAACTGAAACTCATTAAATAAATTACTGTAATTCGAATCGAAGGTACATAAAAACATATAATAGAGTTTGAACGTCTAGACACGAACATTATTTACTGTCTTACAAATTATATTGTATATCACTGATCCTTAATGTACGCTATCGCTTTTGTTGCAGGAGCTGAAAAAACACCGGGTAACGGCTGTAGTGAGAGTGTGCGAACCGTCGTACAAAGTGGAGGAGCTAAACAACCAGAATATTGAAGTCTTCGACCTAGGCTACGACGACGGCACCTTTCCGCCAACTAAAATAGTCGATGAATGGTTCAAGATTCTTAAAAAACAGTTCAATGACAATCCCGATTGCTGCGTAGCCGTTCATTGCATCGCTGGGCTGGGGAGAGCTCCTGTCATGGTGGCTCTGGCTCTTATTGAGCTTGGACTTAAATATGAGGAGGCTGTCGAGTTGATTAGAGAGTAAGTATATTTTGTTATAGAAAATACTTTTTCTATATTCGGCATTTAAAATTCAACACTATTAAAAAGATAAAAATAAAAAAAAATTAGTCATTATAAAAACCTTAAATTACAATTTATAAAAGAAGCAAAAATATTACAGATTTCTTTGACGAATCTTCCATTCAATATCCTGTAGGACATTCGATGCTTTTCTGTACTGTTCTTGGTACGTTCTGGTTCGTGCCAGTATTATCTTAAAACTGCCTAGCAAACCACGTAACTCGAAGCAACACTTCCTTTTTAATCCCACACGGCAGGAATACTAGGTGGAACCACAAAATCGAACATCAAATAATAATAAACATACTAATACCGCAGAATATGAAGCAATCTTTTTTGATATTTCGGACCTAAGATCACGTGGTCGTTGTCCATTTTGTTGGCGGATAAGTCAGGGTTGTATTGTGATATAGTTTGTACCCGTTAGATAGGTCTGTACTTTGATGATTTATGTCTTGACGATCTGGCTCATTTCTGCTTTCTTGTACAGCTCTACGATCTATGCATTTGTTCGTCTCCTCCAACGTCTTCATAGTCTTTTACTTCCCCGAATATCTTTCTTAAAACACTCCGTTCTCAAATGTTCAGCATTTATGTTCTTGATTGGTGTTCATAACCCATGTTTCGCTTCCGTACAGGACCGTGGATTGGATCACTGTCACTGTTGGATACTTTATACAACAGTCTCATACAGAAGCTCGTGAATCATATGATTTTCGATTAGATCTAAATGAAAAATTACTTTTTGTAGAATGGAACGAACGAAGCGTATTACTATGGCATCTACTTTTGGTAATATAGAACCTCTCGCACAAGCTAGTTGATGGAATCACAAGCTGCTCTAAGGAAACGTATATATCATCATCCAGCCTCAAGAGTCCACTGCTGAACATAGGCCTCTTCCTCATGTTTCCAACCCCGTCTATCTTGCGCCGCTCTTATCCAGTTTTATTGAGTCTTCTTAAATCGTCAGTCCATCTTGTAGGTGGTCGACCGACGCTTCTCTTGTCTTCCCTTGGCCTCCATTCCAATAACCTCTTTGTCCATCGCCCATCTGTCATTCTGGCTATGTGTCCTGCCCATCTCCATTTTAGTCTGGCTATCTTCTCGATGATGTCAGTCACTCCGGTTCTTCTCCTGATGTCTTCATTTGTTATTCTGTCTCGGAGAGTTATTCCTAACATGGACCGCTCCATTCTTCTCTGCGTGACTCTCAGTTTGGTAGCTGCTGCTTTTGTTAAGGTAAGTGTTTCTGCTCCGTACGTCAAGACTGGGAGGACGCACTGATCAAATACCTTTCTCTTTAGGCATGTGGGCAGCTCACTTTTAAAAGTTTCTCTCAGTTTTCCAAATGCTGCCACCCAAGGCCGACTCTTCTCTTCAGTTCATGAGTCTGGTTATCTCTGACAATCATAATTTCATGTCCCAGGTATTTATATCTATGTACGAGTTCTATTTCTTTCCCACCAATACTGATGTTCTGGTTGGGCACCAAATTGGTCATGATTTTTGTTTTCGAGATATTTATATTTAAACCTACATTTTCTGTAGCCACAACGAGTTCCTGTACCATCTCTCTTGCCATACCTAAATCTTCAGCTATTATAAGTATATCATCGGCGAAACGTAAGTTGTTTAGATATTCTCCATCTATTTTTATTCCCTTTGTCATCCAATCCAAATTCGTAAAAGCATGTTCTAGCACCGTATTAAAAAGTTTAGGTGACATTGGGTCTCCTTGTCTAACCCTCCGTTCTATTTTTATGCGATTACTGTTAGTATGTAATTTGACAGTGGTTATTGCCTGCAGGTATATTTTTTATAATAATTTAGTATATCTATAATCTAGCCTGCATTCTTTAAGCGCCTGTAATATTTTGCTTAGCTCAACTGTGTCAAAGGCTTTGTGAAAATCGATAAATATTAGAACTATAACGATAAATATTAGAGGTTTATTGTATTCCACTGCTTTCTCTATTAGGGTTTTTATACTTTGTACATGGTCATTCGTAACTTTTTCGGAATCCTGCCTGTTCCTTTGGTTGATAAGTCTCTAATTTTCTTTCCATTCTCTTAACTAGTATTCGCGTAAACAACTTATATATATATATATATATATATATATATATATATGTATATATATATATATATATATATTATATATATATATATATATATATATATATATATATATGGCTGAGGAGGCTAATCGGTCTGTAATTCTCTAAATTTGCTTTGTCTCCTGCTTTGTGTAATAGAATCATAGTAGCGTTGTTCCAGTCTGTTGGAATATTGGCGCTGTGAAGGCAGATATTGAAAAGTTGTTTAATTTTTTCAAGTAATACATCCCCTCCAATTTTTAGTGCCTCTGATACTATTCCATCTTCACCCGGGGTTCGATTATTTTTCATTTTCTTCAGGGCTTCTTTGATTTTTGATTTTGTTATATTGGGCATTAAATTTGATCCTTGGTTTAATACCCCAGTTTTTAGTGTAATTGGAGGTTCCGTATTATTATCTTTTTTTCCTGATCTATATAACTCTGTGTAGAACTCTTCGACTATTGTTAATATTTCATCTCTGTTCGTTGTTTCTTCTCCAGTTCTGTTTCTCAGTTTGTTAATTTCTATTTTCCCCTTTTGTACGCTCCTCTTCAAAACTTTCATGTTCTTATTTTTCTCTATTGCCTGTTTTGTTTTTTCTACATTGTAGTTTCTTATGTCTTTTCTTATTGCCTTTGTGATCGTCTTATTTTTTTGTATATACGTATATTATACGTATATATATATATATATATATATATATATATATATATATATATATATATATATATATATATATTCATAAGAGGCATGAATCAACACTACTGATTTATTGGAAAATATGTCACTAAAATCAAAGCTATGAAGAATATTGGTCAATATTCACACGAGTGATTGATATGGCATTAGTAAATTTATGTCTTCTCTAAAAACTAGTCTTCTTCTTGTAGTGCCTATATCAGTGTATAGTAGTAGGTAGGACCTAAATTTGACTTTTAGTACAAGAAGTATAGTAGGAGAATCGAGAACATCAACATGTAAAGTATTTACAGATATAAAATTCGATGGGAAAGAACACTTCATGGAGAAACATAAAGAGCAGAGACGATGTCCATGGAAAATTGTAAAACCAAACCACTAACTACTACTAAAAAATGTCCTGTACCATTCTGTACAAATTGTTTTATACAAAACATAAACTTACTTTTAGTAGACTTTTACTAACGCCCAGTGATCTATTTATAGGACGGATCAAAATTCAAAAATGGAAATATATATAATAGATTCACGACTATTTCTATATTAAGATTAATATTACTGATAATTATGTTTATGTTTGAAATTAAAAAAAAATAACGCCTAATAATTTAGTCGTTAATGGGTTAAATTCTTCACTCCTTTGTTACTGATATTTTTTCACTGTTTTATAATAATCAACTGTATCATGACGCTACTGGAACCGGCTAAATAATGGCTGGAGCTATCTGCGCAAACCAGGTGCGCATACTTATAAATTTTGCGAGTTATAATGGATTATTTCTGATTCTGTGGTATATATTATCCGTACCAATACTTCATATATGTAGACCAATCAGATAAGCCACGGCAGTGGCGGACTATATTTTCTTAATTTAAAGCAATAATTCTTTCACTCCCAAGGATTTTGTTGTTTTGGAGATATAAAACTGAATCTATTTGAAATTTCCACTAATCGGAATTAGTGTATAATGAAACGTATAGCTGGATGTGTATTAAATTTAATCTATATGACAAATTCCACATAAAATATCTACTTTTGTGGTGACAAAAATATTAATTTTAAAATTTGGGAGCACACACCTGGGGCCAATTTTTTTATTCTTTAGTACTCAAAATTAAAGAAACAAATAGTGCCGCCACCCGGAACGATGGTAATCATGCCTTTTTTGCGAGATTTTAAAAATGGAATGAGTGAAATAATGGTGATTTTGGAGTGTAAAAATGACGCGACTTAAAATCACTGTAGAGTATGTTCAAAAGCACCTACAAACTTTTTTAGAAAACAAAAATGAAGGCAATTTTTATACTTTCAAAAACTACAGGCTAAGTTTTAAGTATAGGACCCCTCAATTATCTCAAAAGCGGATTGCACGACTTTAATAGATTTTGGTGTGTAAGAAAGAGTCTTGTAATTAAAACCGAAGAAAAAAATAGCGCCACCAACCGAAACGAGGATAATTATGTCTTTTACGAAATTTCAATAATTGACAGAGCGAGTAATAGTGATTTTGAAGTGTAAAAATGTGGTGACTTAAAATCACTGTGGAATCTGTTCAAAAGTACCTACTTTTAAAAAACAAAAATAAAGGTCTTTTTTCTAATTTTGTTTTTCCCATAAATCTCAATCTACAGAGTGAGTTTTAAGTATTTAACCCGTTAATTATCTCGGAAACAGCTTTGCTATAGAATTTCGTGCATAAGTGTCGATAATGCGGCCGATATTATGCTGTTATTTATATTGTTGCCCGATATTCAGTTTTTCTGGAAAGATAATGAACTTTCTTATTTCAAATGCATCATCCTGTATATTTTTTGTCTTTGGAAGTCCTTAGGAAATACGTATTATTTTTCATATTATGTTTCCGATACCAAAATGTCATAATTTCGGAGTTATTTCTACATTCATTACAATTCTACATTCTTACATTATCTTCGCCTAAGTTAAAATAATTTATTTAGATGGCTATTAACAACTTTTACGTTTTAATAAATTAGTATTACAATGGATTACAGTACCCGACACAGAATGAAATGAAATTTTAATACTAGGATATGGTGATATGCGTAGAAGTAAGTCAACAAGAAACGTTTAATATCTTAATAATTTATATGTTAACCGAAATTCCGTAACAAGATCTACAGTCAATAAATTGTTAA